TGACAAATTTGAGATATTTTGAAGACATAGGCTCAGCAGGGATCTCTGATTAACATAAGTAATACATACAACAGAAAGCCCTTGGAGTTTGCTAGATCCAGGTTCAAATCTCAGCTCTGTCACTTATCCATTTTGTGACCCTGGATGTTTCATGTATCCTCAGAACCTTAATTTCCTCATCTTAAAATTGGGACACAATACTCAGCCCATAGGGATATGAGGAGTAAGTGAAATAATACATGTAAAGCATCCAGTAATGTTTCTTACCACATAGTAGATATAAAATAATAGCTGCTTTGGTTGTAGAGGATGAAGGGGAGTCAAGAACAACTTCCAAGTTTTCTGTTTGATTAATGAGAAAGAGCTAGATTAGGAAAGTGAGTTAACCTGCCTGGTTCTTAGATTGCTTGTGAGGAATCTGGGGTGGAACTGTTCCCTGACAGTAAGAGTATGACACTCCTGACTAGAAGGCATAAATTTGGGAGACATCAGCTTACACTTGGTATTATTACAAGTTACGAAAGTGTGTGAGATCATGCAGGATGAGAATTAGAATGGGAAGTCAGAACCCTGGAGAGTAGCCTGGCAGGAACATTGCAGGGGTTGGTCAGAGGAAGAGGAGGAGGAGGAGGAAGAACCCCAGGGAAGCAGTATGAGTGAAGCCCAAGCAAGAGAACAGTGCCAAAGAGAGTGTAATTGGCAGCTGCAGGACTCCAGAGAGTTGGAATAATACCAAGGGGAAGGGTATCTTTGGGTTTACCAACAAAGAAATCTTTAGTTACTTCTGCATGATTCATGATATATGTTTAATTTCAGTGGTTTCAGGAGAGAATGAGAGATGAGAAGTAAAGGGAACCAGGGTACCAGGGTAGATAAATCTTAAGAATGTGACATAAATTTAGATTTAACTGGTGATTTTAAAAAAGAGTTAACAGAGAAGGGGTTTCAGAGGAGTTTGGCTGTTAGCTTAGAGAGTCAAGTTTCAAGAAGAAAGTAGTGGTCAATGGTGTCAAATGCAGCAGACCAATCTTATAATGCTCACTGAGAAAATGCACACTTGGATTTAGTCATTAGGAAGAAGTTTGTGAACCTAGAGCTAAGTCTGTGTGGTCAGTACTTTGCTGGACTTTGTTCAGTGGAGAATGAGTGAAAGTTACTGAGCATGGACGTGAGATGATCAGAACACCACTTTTTGACATTTGGCAGAAGTTCAAAGGATCAGATAGAAGGGAAGAATCCATTAAAGGCACAAAGTAACAAAGGCCTGGATCAGAGTGATGATCCTGCCAAAAGAAAAATGGATGCACGTGCTACTAGGAGTAGCACCTTTATAACTTGACAGTCACTGGGTGTAGTGGGTAAAGAAGTCGCCTCAAAGTTAACATTTTAGGGGTTTGTTTTGTTTTGGAGACAGTCTCACTTTGTTGCCCCAGGCTAGAGTGCACTGGTGTCAGCTTAGTTCACAGCAACCTCAAAGTCTTGGGTTCAAGCAATCTTTTTCTTTTTAATTTTTTTAATTTAATTTAATTTTATTTTATTTTTGGAGACAGCCTCAAGCTGTCCCCCTGGGTAGAGTGCCGTGGCATCACAGCTCACAGCAACCTCCAACTCCTGGGCTCAGGCGAGTCTGCTGCCTCAGCCTCCCAAGTAGCTGGGACCACAGGCACCTCCCAAAACACCTAGCTATTTTTTTTGGTTGCAGCCATCGTTGTTTGGCCGGCCTGGGCTGGATTCGATCCCGCCACCTTAGGTGTATGTGGCTGGCGCCTTAGCCACTTGAGCCACAGGCGCCAAGCCGGGTTCACGCAATCCTACGTCAGCCTCCCTAGTAGCTGGAATGGGCTATAGGTGTCCACCACTATGATCAGCTAAGATTTCTATTTTTAGTAGAGATAGGGTCTTGCTTTTGCTCAAGCTGAACTTGAACTCCTGACCTCGAGTTATCCACCTTCCTAGGCTTCCCAGAGTGCTAAGATTACAGGTGTGTGCCACTGTGCCTATCCTACATTTTAAGGTTTTGAGTGTGAGTAATAATGAGAACAAGGCCATTTGTAGAAGCAAAATTGGAAGATAAATTTGTTATTCATTTTTAAACTTTAATTTTTTTTTTATTAAGCATATGTTATTGTGTGGCTACTATGCTTTGATCCTTTTTTCAGATACTAGAGATTCAACAGTGAACATAATAGGTAAGATACCTGCCCACATGACAGGGGAGGTGAAGACAGAAAAAAAAAAATATTAAAAAGACAAGGTAGTTTAAGACAAACAAGACAAAACTAGGAAATGATATGGAGATATATCGAGGAGAACACTTTTCAGTGGTGTGGTCAGGAATGGCATTTCTTTCTTCTTTTTTTTTTTTATTTGGCTGGGGCTGGGTTTGAATCCACCATCTCTGGCATATGGAGCCGGCACCCTACCCTTTTGAGCCACAGGTGCTGCCCAGGAATGGCATTTCTAAAGAGGAGAGATTTGAAGTGAGATTGGAATATTAATAAGAAATCAACTATGCCAAGATGTGGGTACAAAGGCATTTCTACCCAGAGTGGAGAGTGTGTGCAAAGGCCCTGAGAAGAGAATGAGCTTGGTTTGTTTGAGGGCCAAAAGGCCAGTATATCAGGAAAAGAGTGAGCAAAGGAAGAGACTAATACAACATGAGATCTGAAAGGTTGATGCAGTTAAACAGGACATTGGCAGTCTTGCTGTGGTTTGATGGCTTATTAGTAGCAGTGGAAATGAAAGAAAAATAGTATGTTGAACTCAACCTGTCTGTAGGACAACTAGGTGAAGTCAGTTATCAGGTTTAAAAATAAAAGTTCAAATATGTTTTGCCTAGTATTAATTCATTGAAATAACTTGCCAAGTTGTTTAATAAATGCTGATAATATGGAAGTATGTCTAGGAAATGGCCAAGAGATCTGAAGGATCAAAAATCCCTAGCAGTTCTTTAACATAATAAAGGTTGTTTTAAATATTTTTGCAACCTGAAAGAAAGGACCAAATGTTGTATGAATACACTGTAGTAGCTGGAAAAATTGTGGCCAGAAATACCTTATAACCTCAGGCGATCTGAAGAATATTTGCCAACCTAAAATGCCTACATCTCTATGGGGAATGTGCGGTGAAGACTTGTGTAGTGCCTATGCAGACAGAACTCCCATTTCTAGAATTGAATTTTTTTGCAGTGAACTGAGAGTATATGTATTGCTATGCTTCTAGGCACACAGGTAATTGGAATAGTTTGCTTAGCCATGGTCATCCTTATGGGATCTGGTTTTACTGAATGTGTACTCAAAAGACACACTGAGACAGAATCATTATACTTTACAATTATGTATTACCTTACAGTTTATGTATCTTTTACCTATGGAAAATCAACTTGATTTTCAGAACCACTCTTCAAAGTAGACCTATAAGGAGGTCAGTGTTAATATTTTAAGAGTTAAGGAAAGGCTCTCCAAGTACATGTTTTTTTGTTTGTTTGTTTGTTTGTTTGAGACAAAGTCTTATTAGGTCGCCCTCCGTAGAGTGCTGTGGCTTCACAGCTCACAGCAACTTCAAAATCTTGAGCTTAAGCTATTCTCTTGCCTCAGCCTCCCAAGTAGCTGGGATTACAGGTGCCTACCAGAGTGCCTGGCTATTTTTTTGTTGCAGTTGTCATTGTTTAGCTCACCTGGGCTGGATTCGAAGCCACCAGCCTGGGTGTAGTGGCCGGCACCCTACCCGCTGAGCTATAGGTGCTGCTGGCATATTTTATTCTTGTATTGCCATCCAACTCAATGGCTACTAATAGGAATAATAACTAACACGTAACGAACAGTTCTGTGCCAGGCACTGTGATCAAGATTTATAAAAAATCAATTTCATTTAATCCTTTTATCAACTGAGGTGGGAGCTTCCTTTATAAATTGGTGTTTTCAGTTCATTTACATACTTGATATTCTCACACCTGATAGAATGTAGAACTGTGAGAATGAAAAGGTAATTATATGGCATTGTACTTTATAATAAAGTTAAGCCATGGAAAAACATATTTTTTGGTCATATTTTATATTATTTATTATATTTTTCCCTAAACATAGAAGCCAAGCTTAGTATATGTACTAACCTGAGAGATGAAATCTAAGCCATATAAAGTGAGTGAATAAAGTAATATTGTGAAATGTCTTTGTACGATTATAGGAATAATATATTAAAATTGTCAGTGGTTGTACATTTAATAAAACACTTAAAAATGGCCAATCAAGGCCCAGTGCCTGTGGCTCAAGTGGCTAAGGCTTCAGCCATGTACACCCAAGGTGGTGAGTTCGAATCCAGCCTGGGCCTGCCAAACAACAATGATGGCTGCAACCAAAAAATAGCCAGGCATTGTGGCAGGCGCCTCAGCTACTTGGGAGGCTGAGGCAGGAGACTCGCTTGAGCCCAAGAGTTGGAGGTTGCTGTGAGTTGTGATGCCACGGCACTCTACCCAGGGGGACAGCTTGAGGCTCCTGTCTCAAAAAAAAAGGCCAATCAATAAAGAAGTATATACATAAATTATTTAGAAATGAGAAATGTCTGTAAAACTTAATCCTTTATTTAGTGACTTTAGTGAAAGAGATGTGTTGCTTACTGTGGAAATGGTAACAATGCTTTATAGATATATAGTATCTCTCATCCAAGGGAAAATCCTTTTCAAATGTTTCGTGAGTCCTTACAGTACTTTGGTGAGGCAGGTAGAGAGGGAATATTATTATCTTCATTTTATAGATAGAGAAATTAAAATTAAGACACAATGAAGGTTAAACGATTCATGTATATTTTTATTATCTGAAGTAGCAACCTGAGCTATTAAGCTAAGAATATATTTTAGGAGGATTGGCACTGTAACCCCTTTACTTCTGTACTTCATACAGATTATTGAGACTAATGTGTTAGCTTTAAAATGTCTGCTTGAATTTTTTATCATTCGTTTAGAAGTAGAAAACATATAATATTTTTTTTTCTGTTCTTTTTAGGTCAGCAGCAAGGACAAGATGGAGTAAAAGTCCAACAAGCTACGATAGCCCCTGTAACGGTAGCAGTTGGAGGAATTGCTAATGCAACGATAGGTGCTGTTAGTCCTGACCAACTCACACAAGTGCATTTGCAGCAAGGCCAGCAGACTTCTGATCAAGAGGTACAACCCGGCAAGAGGCTTCGAAGAGTTGCCTGTTCCTGTCCTAATTGTAGGGAAGGAGAAGGAAGGTAAGTGCTCTGTCTTCAATTCACTCTCTGGAAGGCACAGTACAGTAGTAGTTAAAGCCAAGTTGTTGATGAGGTACTTTGGTCACTTTTGTAGCTCAGAAGTTGAGATATAATGTTAGGAAGGGAATCAAGTTGGGTTATTTGGGTTATTTTAGGAATGGGATTTCAGTGGTCCTCTGCCTTGTGCCTTACACTTTTTTTGCACTTTTTGGCCGGGGCTGGTTTTGAACCCGCCACCTCTGGCATATGGGGCTGGTGCCCCACTGCTTTGAGCCACAGGCACTGCCCTGTGCCTTACACTTTTAAAAAATACAGGAGAACTTCCACAGCTGACCACTTCCCTACATTGACTGAGTCCTTAAGTTGACCTAATTTTCTTAGACCAGATATGCACCACATCTACTAAGGCCTGTTCCGTATGTGACTGCCTCTGTATGTTGACCAGCTTATTACAGTCCTTTGGGTAGTCAACTCACAGAGATTCTACTATAGTTTTCCTTTTTCATATATAATGCAAAAGTTTTACACATTTATTGATATAAAACTCACCATAATTCACCCATGTAAAGTGTACATTTCAGTGGTTTTTAAATAAATATATTCACAGAATTGTGTAGCTGTAACCATAATCAATTTGAGAAATTTTTTGTCATCCCCAGACAAAATCTTGTATCCTTTAAACAGTGCTTACTCAACCTTACCATCGTAGGCAACCACTAAACTAACTTCTGTCTTTGTAGATTTATCTATTCTGGATCGTCCATGCAAATGGAATCATATGATATGTGGTCTTTGGGGACTGGCTTCTTTCATTTGCAATGATGTTTTCAAGATTCAGGCTATATTATAGCATGATCAGTACTTCATTTCTTTTTATGGATAAATAATATTCTACTGCATGGATAATAATTTTGTTTCTCCTACCACTTGATAGACATTTGAGTTTTTTTCACTCATTGATGATTATCAGTAATGCTGCCGTAAACATTCACATTGAAGTGTTTGTATGGGCATATATTTTCTTTTTTGTTTTTTGTAATTTTTATTTATTTATTTAATTTCAGATTAATATATGGGTACATATGATTAGGTTGCATTGTTTGCATTTGTTGGGTTAAAGTCCAAGTTGTAGTTGAGCCCTTCACCCGGGAGGTGTGCCCTGTATCCTACATTGCACTTGTTACATGAGAGCTTACTAAACCTCCTCCATGTATTTTTATTTTTCCCATGTTCATATACCTAGAAATGGTATTGCCAGCTCTTGAGTTTAACTATTTGAGGACTGTTTTCTAGAAGGGCTGCACTGTTTTATATATTGCCACCACCGGGATATCAAGAGTTCCCGTTTCTCTACATCATTGCCAGTGCTTGTCATTATCTGACTTTTTGATTATCCTGTCCTAGTGGATCTGAAGTGATATCTCAGATGTGTGGTTTTGATTTACATTTTTCTGATATTGAACTATCCTTCCATGTGCTTTTTGACTATTTGTATATCTTTGGGGAAACGTTTATTTAGATCTTTTGTGTTATTTGTCTTTTTATTACTGAATTTTATCTCTATATAATCTAGATACAAGTCCCTTATCAGATATCAGATATATTGGCAAATATTGTCTCCCATTATTCGGATTTTTTTTTTTT